TGGCGCAATATGGTTCATGGGGTCACGAAGAGTCGGACATGACTTAACAACTGAACAACAAAGAGTTACAGAATATAGTCCTCTGACACATTTACAATTGGATGCCCTCCTTGATTAGCTGAACTAAACATATTTGTTCACAAACTTGTAATCCATAATGGCCCTCTAGTCCCCTCGTTTTTTGAAAGATAAAAATGAAATAAACCCTCAGAATGCTTAGCTGGCATAGTTCCATAACTCCTATTTGTAACATATACAGCTTTCAAGACTCTGTTATTCTACCAAAGAACAATAAAAAACATTTCTGGAATCCCTGCCATACCTGTATCTTGATCTTGCCTACCTCAAAAGGCTGACATCCATCTTATAAGCCTGTCTAAGTTTCTCTCTGTCCCGTCGTATACTAAGCAAACTCAAGGTGGGATTAATTTAAGTTTATTTCTCATGCTTTCCTCTTTCTCAGGACCAAGTAATCTGTTCTTAGAGCTTTCCTTTCTCAGGACCAAGTAGTCTTTTCTCAGAGTCCTCCCTTAACAACTCACTCATTCCTTCTCTATATTCATGGTCAGCTCTGCATTCCTTCACTCATACATTGTTTTATAACTTACATTTGTTTGTTTCTGCTGGCAAGGATGGTCATGAGAATCAGACAGTTTTTTCTTTTCATTGTGAGATTTCTTTGATTCTTGGTTATCAACTGGGACATATTCTGAAGAACTAATGGAATCACTCAAGCACAAATACAGTTAACAGAAAAATAAATGATCATATATTGTTAAGACAATTATCATTTTAATTATCATCTATCAATACACAAAATAATCAGGAATTAAGTTACTACCCAGAACTACTGTATAACTGATCTTGGTTAATAAAGTAAATAATTCTCTAATGAGGAGTAAGCAACTTTTTGGGTTGATTGAATTACATTTTAATAAAATATTTGATAAATGTTTACTAAAAATGGGTGCACTGAGAAATTTTAAAACATCAAATATTGGTAGAAACATAACGGGGGGGGTATGTGAGTAAAGAAAAAAAGTGAAAATTTCTATTTCTTCTGTTTTCTTTGTTATATAGAAATGAGAATTGGGTATACTAGGAGAAACAACAATTTAGTTAAATACAATAGTAATGGATTACTTTAGAAGTATGTGTGTGTTAAAGAAAAAAGACAGAGGGTCAAGAATGATTGCATATAGAATGAAAATGGATTAAGAAGAAAAATCAGTGACATTATGAAAGAAATGCCAGTATGAGTAATCACTGATTATAGAGAGAGAATGATTTAGGATTAAATTGCGGAACAAATATATGAAGGATAAGTGAATGGATCAAGAGGAAAGGGAAGACAGGAAAAATTGTGATTGGATGGTGCTGATGAATGTCTTCCAAAAAACAGAGGAGAAGGTTAAAGAACAACGGCAATTTATCAATTGTTTATAGACCTAGTGGAAGCAAGGATGGTTCTCAAGGATAGAAAATTATGGAGAGATACAGTAAATGGTGTGGGTGTAATACTAGATTTAGATGCTGTTTCTCTTATCTCCTACCTTAAATTTCTTTGTCCACTACTTCTTATTGTTTTTCTAAGCATTGGTAAATACCAAAAGGGAATAACATGATGAATATATACATATGCAAGAATGTAAGTATGGGTATGGATATAAGTATGTGCATTAAAACAGGCCTTGAACAAAATCTACAACAGTTTTTACTGAGTAGAAGTTAATAATAGTTATCATTAGATTCTTGTTTACTTAAACAGAATAATAACTTTATTGTCATTCCACTATACACTATACACCAAGTGCATAATAAAATGAAATTCCATTGCAGTTGGCTCACAGTTACAATCAGACACTAAAGTACAATCAGGATATCATAGTTACTATAAAATATATATTCTATACACATTTGACATTGACTTATTAAACATTCAAGAATCTAATAGCCTGGGTGTCATTCCACTATACACTATACACCAAGTGCATAATAAAATGAAATTCCATTGCAGTTGGCTCACAGTTACAATCAGACACTAAAGTACAATCAGGATATCATAGTTACTATAAAATATATATTCTATACACATTTGACATTGACTTATTAAACATTCAAGAATCTAATAGCCTGGGGGACAAAGCTATTTCCCAAGCTGGCTGTTCTACATCAGATACAGAGGGTTCCCAGAGTGTAACAAAGAAAACAGGCCATGAAGAGGATGGGAAGCATCACTGATGATCCTTCGAGCTTTAGACAGACAGTGCGCATATGCTAGATCTTGGATGAGAGGCAGAGAGATCCCAATTATCTTCTCTGCTGCCCTTACTACCTTCTGCACAAACTTTCTATCTGAGGCAATACAGCCTCCAAACCAGATGGAAATACAATTAGTAAGTACACTCTCTACGTTGCCTCTATAGAAAGTAAGAAGAACGGAAGATGGGAGATGTACTTTCCTCATCCGGCGCAAAAAATGTAAATGTTGCTGTGCTCGTTTTACCAAAAATGCAGTGTTAAAAGACCAGGTCAGACTATTCGTTAACTGTACCTCTAGGAATCTAATGCTACTGACTGATTCCACAGCTATGTTATTAATAAGAAGTGGAGTACGACTACACTGGTTATTCCTGAAATCTATAATAATCTCCTTAGTTTTTTCCACATTTAGGACCAGGCTGTTTTTATTACACCACTCCACCAAGCCCTTCACCTCCCCCTATAAGCCCACTCATTATCATCCCTGATAAGGCCCACCACCATTGTATCATCTGCATATTTCACAACGGAATTGGTGGTGAACCTGGCCCAACAGTCATGGGTCTTCAGGGTGAACAACAATGGGCTTGGACACAACCCTGTGGGGAGCCGATGTTCAGAGAGATAGAGCTAGAGATATTATTTCCAACTCACACCGACTGAGACCTCTCAGTCAGGAAGTCAAGTAGCCAATTACACAAAGGAGTACTGAAACCCAGAGAACCCATGAATTTTGGAATTAAACTTACTTTTTCTGCAACAGTTGTTTCTTTAGTCTGTATTTATTTTGTTTTACACCTAAATGCATAAAAAAACCTGAATAACTGATATCATACAGAGCATTTAATAGTTTATAAATAATTTGAGCAAAGAAATGGTTACCTCTAGCTTCTTCCATTTGCTTCTTCAGCTTCTCATATTGCTCAATAAGTCCTTTAACTCCTTCAGGATTCTCTCTGCACAGGTCCTGACCTCTCTCATTGGCTTCTAATGCTTTTCTGTGCTCACCCAAGAATGATAAAGCATCACAAAATCGATAATGCCCCTACAAAAAGTGATGAGCAAAATGTTTAATATCACTCTAAAATAGGAGGTTTTGTCAAACAGTTACATTTCTCAATTTGCTAGCTACTTCATATTGCAACCCAATCCTATGTTGTTGAGCAGAATAAGATATTATATTCAATATTGTTCATACGCATATGTAAACTTGCATTTGAATGCAGACTAAATGTTTCATATCATTTATCCAGTTGCTATTCTAATCAAAGCATCCAAGTATGTAAACAAAGGATTTGGGAGTATATCAATACAATTTTTATAGTTGTATTGCCCTTAGAGTGAGCTATAGAATACAGATATAATATGACATTTATCCTCCTTGCACTGGGGTAGTTGGATTATTCAAGAGTCAGTATATTAATATTCAAGTTATAATCGCTTTATATACTTCTTTCTCAGGGCCTCTGTTTTTTAAAAATCTGCAGGTAAACAACAAGCTGTTTTAATGATATCATTCTGTAAACAGAAGGGGAAATAATTTTTTGCTAATTTTCAATACACCCTTTCCATGAGCAAAATCTGCCTGGGAAATAGTTGATATTAGGAATGAATAACATGTATTCTGCCATAGGCGGAACTAATAGAAGCAAATATGTGTAGCTTGTAGTCCTTGGGGTTCTCTGAACTAAGGACTCCATAGGCGGAACTATAATTTCTCACAACCTTCAATTTTCACTGAGGCTTCTCTGCATCGTAATTCAGCCATTTCTATTTCTTCTGAACTTTTCTATTCTAAAATAATCAAAGGATGCAATCTGCCCCTCCTTCACATAAGAGATAAGCTTTCTTCCCTCTGCATTGAAAGAGGGGGGGAAAAAACCCTACACAGAACCTTCCTACCCAAATTTGTCTCTATATAGGTTTCTCACTTGAAAGTACAGTACTTGCTAGAATTCTTGTTACTGTTACTTTTACCTTTTTCCTAATAAATCTCACCAATCAGAACTCTCAGAGATTTGTTCATTAGGACTAACCATTTCAAGTCCAAGTTGTTACAAGGGAAATCTGACATTAATTCTGACAAGTTCCTACTCTCTCTACTAAATCATGGTGATTGATCCTCTTACCATGCCACTGAATTTTGACCAAGTTGTCTTTACAGCAATTAAGTGTACCCATACAAGAACTAGGTAGAAGTCCAGATTAACAAACTGATTCTAACAATCACCCAAATGACACAGCAGATGGCACAAATCTAACTCCCATCTACTGCTGCACCACCTCCTGCAAAATTTCTTGTCTGATAAATATGACGGTAATCCAGAAAAATTCAAAGCATTCATTTCATTATTCTTGGTAGAATTTATACTTTACTTTTGACCAAAAAAGCTGCCAATACACTAGGTATAAGTTGATCTGGAATTGCTCTGACAGGCTTTCAGGTTTGCTACATTACCCTGTTAGCAATAAAGATCATTCCTGAAATCCAAGTGGTTATCTCCTGAATCTGCTAGCTTTAAAGGATTTGACAGACTGACATTTGCAAATTGCCTTAAGACATGTGATGTTGTATGTAGCTGACTTCTAATTTTACTCTAGAGATGTAGGCTGGAATGAATTGCTCTTTGTTGTTGTTTAGTCGTTAAGTCGTGTCCGACTCTCCGTGACCCCATGAACCATACTGCGCCAGGCCTTCCGGTCCTTCACTGCCTCCCTGAGTTTGCTCAGTTTCATGCTCATTGCTTCAGTGATGCTATCTAACCATCTCATCCTCTGCCGTCCTCTTCTCCTTTTGCCTTCAATCTTTCCCAGCATCAGGGTCTTCTCCAAAGAGATCTCTCTTCGCATTAGGTGACCAAAGTATCTGAGCTTGAGCTTCATTATCGATCCTTCCAATGAGCAATCAGGGTTGATTTCCTTTAAGATTGACTGGTTTGACCTCCTAGCAGTCCAGGGAACTCTCAAGAGTCTTCTCCAGCACCACAGTTCAAAGGCATCAATTCTTCGGCGCTCCGCCTTCTTTATGGTCCAGCTCTCACAGCCATACATTACTACTGGAAAAACCATAGCTCTGACTATGCGGATCTTTGTCAGCAAGGTGACGTCTCTGCTTTTTAATATGCTAATGAATTGCTCTAGCTGACCAATTTAAAGAGAGCCTATCTAATGAACTAGCCTGACCAAGCACTCCAGGAACCTTAAAGTTGCTGATCCAGTGCTGTATAGCCATGGACAGAATAAAAGATCTGAGACAGTAGTTGGATAAGAATATACCCTCTATATCCCTTTTCCATCCTTCACCTGTTCTTTGAAAAATTCAAAAGTTAAAGCTATCCAACTGAAAGTAAATAACCTCCCCACAATCAGCTACAGAAAAGCAACACACTCATGTTTGATCTCTGTTTTATGGAATTTCTAGACATTTTGTACTTGGTTATTCCACTAAACTTCTTGCTCTGAGTCCCTGTGAAATGTCATTCTTGTGGAAGAAGAGGTCACTTTGCAACTAAGTCCTCCTGATCATCTGAGAGCAGCTTTTCTACAAAACAAGCTAGGCACCCCTTTCAAGAGTTCAGAAAGGGGCTATTTGATAATTAAGGGGAGCTCAGATGTATAACTCAAAGTAATGACATTTTATCCTGTTTGTAATTGTTTGCCTTCAAACAAGCCCAGACATGTATCTCTCCTTTGATGGATTTTGAAGTCCTGGACAACTTCACAGACAAATATGTCTTGCCCACTCAGATGAAAGACCCAGCTATATCAGTAGAGACCACCAATGGAAGGCTTTTGTTCTCTGGTCTGATTACTGAATGCACAGCTTCCCTTTGCCTTATCATTTCCAACCATCAGGAAACATTACAACTCAGTTTAACTTCTTCTTTGCATGTGCCCATAATGCTGGAAATGGAATGCCCTCAGAACCCATAACTTCCAGAATTGCCAGGGTTAAATACAATGGGAACTTCATCAGTTTTCTGTTCATGTAAATGATTAAATTATTTCCATGTCCAACAATCTCAAACTTGAATCACAGCAAAAGAGATTTACAAAATAAATGCAACTAACCTTAGGCCAGCAGGGCTTCAAAATAATGGCTCTCTTCCCATCACACAAGGCTTTCCTAAAACAAAAATATGTTTGGCACAAATGATTTAGTAAAATGCTTTTATTCAAACTGAAAAGTTTTTCAAACTTCAAGATTTTAACAAACCTCAGAAGAGATTATCACTTGTAAATTTCCATTCTGAGAGCAGGCAAAGCCACCTTCATGGCTGGGATAGTTTCCTGTCCTTCTGGAAGCCAGATTCACATTCTAACTTCACTTATAGAGGGAGAACCTCTCTGCCTTCCCTAACCAAGCTGAGAAGAGCTAAAATGCTTCATTCCCTTCATGGCACAGTAGTTTTGGAAAAACGACACTTTCAAGCTTCACTTCTTTCTTCCATTGTGAAACACAATTCTGCAAGTTTCTTTTTTCAGGACGCTTCAGAAATATAAATAAATTAATGGAAAACCTAACAAATACCAATTAAAATTGCAACGGTCCTGTATAACTAGAAAAGAAGACTATTGTTCTATATGTTTCAGTATTGTATCATCTTATTTTTAGTGCAGCTTATTTTGTATGTTGTACATTGCTTAGAGAATTAGGCCATAAAAGGCATACTAGGAATATTTTACATAATATAAAATAAAGGATCTTCAAGATCTAATATTGCCTTCCACACTCAACCTGAACCAATACCTTCTGCTGGGAAGATGACATGTCCCTGTTCTTTAATTTTTCAAAATTTCCCTTATTCTTCCAGATAGAGAGGAAACAATCTTCACCACCAAAATATAGAAAAATAGCATCATTCCCTAAGACAAGGCTACAAGATGACATCAGTAAAATGTACATGTTTTCTTCCAAGCTGCCTTTGCTGACAGACATGTTTAATCTTGCAGTGCCTGGTGAATTGAGTGTACTGGGGTATGCAAAATATTTCATTTCAAAACATTTCAATTGTGAAATTTCATGAACTATCCCAGCTTGAGTACAAAACTGCTGTTTCAAATATGAAATGGGCTCTTTCAAGCATTTTGACTTTGAAACAAAGTTTAACAGTTATGTTAACAGGTGGAATGGGTTAATCTAGCCATCAGGAAGATTGTGAAAAGAAGCAGCTAGCAAAAGCTCCTTTGGCTTTGCTATCTCTGTTGGAAATACATCTTGGATTTCCCTAGCAATCAATTAGTTCTTAGGCAAAATCAGTTTCACCCTGCTGAGAACTCAGATTTTGGCAAAGTCTGACACAATGGGAGTAATATGCACTCATTGTTCTTGTACTGTTAGGTACTGTTTGTACCTAACTGCTGATATACTATGCTCTAGATAATGGTAAGTGCAGTGTCCCATGCTATTTCTTTGTTCTGGGAGTAATAGAGGACTTGCCACAACCCCTTTACTTTGCCAGAAACTTTTTACTTTGACTAGATAAGGAGAGAAGAAATAGGGCAGGTAACTTAAGAAACATTGTCACCTAGATTTCTCCTCTTCTTTTGGACCTGTCAAGTGTCAAATAAACTGGCTTGGCTTTCACTCTCCTTCACTAAAGGCTGAGGGTCAGAATGCTCTGTTTTGCCTTCCCCATAGAAAGGAGGATTGGCTCCCTTGGCCAAATTCTTCAAGGATCAAAGAGGCTTGCAGCTTCCAAATCTACTTCTTTATCTTTCTGTCTGCCAGTCCTAGTTAAATCCCCAGGTTTCCAGAAACTGCCCAGCCACACCAGCAGTTCAGTTATAGAGGATGATGTACAATTGACAGGGAGGTATGTCTATGCCATGTCAGCTTTAGACAACCTCACCAGCAGGAGGCCTACCATCTTGCCATAAGCAGAGTTGAAATTGACCAACAATCCCAAATACCTTGACTTTCTATTTTATGTTTTTGGATATTTCTACTTTCAAAATACTAAATTAAACTAGTTCTATGGCTTTTGGAACCTGACCATTGAGACTTTGTCCTTTTTTTTTTTTTTGCTTCATTTATTTAATAAAACACTGCAGAACAAAGAGAAAAAAAAATTAAAAAAAGAAACTTGGAAAAAAAGAAAGCAATAAACAATAACAAAGAATAAGGGCTTCTCTATGAGGTTTTACACAACAGTCTTCCTGAAGGATGATTATATTTCATGGGACATTGTCTTTAAAAGTGCATTTTTGTCCTTTCACACTAATATGCACCAAGTACATAAACCGTGAACATCTCCAAGATGTGAAATTCCAGAAATGAATGTTTTAAAAGAGGGAACTATCTCTGGAAACTAAACAGATTGCAAATGTAATTTATCACCTACAAAACGCTCTCCTTATATTCAAATAAAAGCATCTTCTCTCTCCCTACTTCACAACAGTTGTTGAATAATCTATGGCCCTAAGTGCACTTTTCCCTATGCCTCAATTTAAACCACAAGTGCAGAATATGTTGAGTTACTTATGAAAAAATGCAATTTTGCAGATGAGCACACTGGATGTTGTTACAAAATGATTGAATCCAACTCACTCAAAATAGAGTTCAAAATTAGTTCTTTTATTCTTGTGTTATTTGGACAGAAAGCAAATCAAGTGTTTAATCAATGTTGATTAATACATATAATTTCTGTTTTCTTGTAATATTTATTACAATAAATTTTATGCCTAACAAGGCTAGCAATAAATGTACGTGCCCAACTAAGCTAACAAAGGTGCCCTATAAGGCTAACAACAGTGTATTAATAAGCAACTCTGCCCTACTAGGCTACCCAAGTTGCTGTCAATTTTCTTGCCCAACTAGGCTACACATTCACACAGAATACTTACATACAGTGGGGCAAAAAAATATTTAGTCAGCCACCAATTGTGCAAGTTCTC